TTACAGCACAGCCTTTTTACAGACTGGCATGAGGCAATTATGTTCTGTCAGATATTCTCAGATTGCCTAATTATGCAATGTTTGAACAATGTGGGCTTAGGCTCCTGAAGAGCAAGAAAGTGATTTACTAGATCACTCTGAAATGAAGGTGAATGCTTAACATGTTATTTTAGTTTTTTGTGAACATTTCTGTCTCAATGGCCTGAACCTCAAGTATGGTTCACAACTGAAACAATGAACAAGGTCCTTCACTGCTTTTTTTAGTGACTTCCAGATTACTAAAATGAAGCCTAACTTTTTAAAATGGAAAAGCCACATGGTGGCAGGAGAGAACAAGGCATGTAAAAATCTTATGCTGCTAAATGCTTCCCTTAGATTTAACTTCATACTATTCCCTTCCACAGCACAGCTGAAGCTCTGTTGGCTGTATTTTTAAATCTGACAGGCACTAACATAACTCATTAGTTGCAATGTTTAAAAAACTGTCCATGACTTCTAAGTTTCAGATACTGCTGACCTAGTTCACTAGGAATTATACAGTAGATGTTAATATTACAGTAACTTTTGAAATTATATAGTAGAGCAGGCTAAACTTCTAATCCTCCAATTTACAACCATCTGGACATGCCCTTCACTTTAATCACAATATACTGTTTGTAGGTGTCTCAGTGCAGTTCACATTAGTTCCTAGTTAACAGCCAGTGGAAATAGTGATGCACCTACCTGCACACACTGTTAGTACCTACACAGGTGCAGCCAAAACTGAAGACTGACCAGTTACTTTTGCAATCAAGATGTAGTTCTGATAGCTGACTTCTATTAGATAAATAATAAGTGGATTTTGCTGTTTAGCAGATGTATAATTGAGATTCCTAATTTAAGAGCTCTGACTCTTTAACCTGTATTTGAAGACTTCATGGCATCTTTTTCAATAATTCCATCATTTTAATGACACTTGACATATTCCATAATAATAATTTTATTTTAATCTGAACATTTCTTCAACTTCAATCTATTTTAAAATGTTGAATCTTCCTAAGAACCACCCACATGATTTTTAGTATATTTGATTTAACGGGAAAGAAGACACAAAAGAATTCAATAGTATATGATTCTCTTATCTCCATACCTACCAGAGCAAGAACTTTCTTAGGACTGTAAACAGTTTCTAAAGTCCCTGAAATCCTTATGTCCCTCATCATAGCCCTGGTTACACCCAGCTCTTAATGCTACCAGGAGCAGCATAAGCTACACACCCTCTTAGAGGACAGGCTTTTGTCTCTCTAAACTCTGGTTTATTGGATTTTTTTCTTGAACCTATTGACCACCAGTGTGGATCATAATGAGAAGTTTTCTAATAAGAAACTGTTTCAGTGATTAACTGATCTGATAAGAAAGCATTCACAGAAATATGAAACGGACTTGCATCTGAATAGTTTTCACTTCCCTGTCTGTTCTCTTTCTATACTCAACTTTCATGGCTGAACTTCTCAGTTTCATTTTAAGTCTATATTATTCTTATTATTCTTGACTAACTTATTTCTCTTACTTATTTCCTATTTCTTATGTAAAAAAGCCAATAGGTTTTCCTTTGTCTTCCCTTTTCCCAGTATATGCAGAAAAGAGAATAATACAAGAGCTGTACACAAACCTGTAGAGAAAACCTTCATCACTGCTAATATTTGCTACTTCTGCATCTTCTAAATTATTTATTCTTTATCAGACTTTTGCTTGAATGTGAAAGAATTTGGATTTCTATGTTGTTTCTGTGCCATCTGTTAGCTTCCAGGTTCTTTTATTCCTTTCACCCAGGCACTGCAGGCAAATCTTTTATTTAGTCTTGCTAATTGTAACCCTACGAGTTCCATAACTGCAGCTTTAACTGTCTTTAAAACATGTCTTCTGCTCTACTTCTTCCTAGAAAATGTTCTGGAGGTTTAATTTTTTTTTTCTTTAGTACAGTGCGGTTGCCCTGTTTCTTCTTGCAAATAAGGATCTCTGATTTCCCTTGTGCTACTCCTTAAATTGTGAGTTGCCTGTAAATATTCACAAAGCTCCATTGTTTTAATCCAGGTATCTGTTACAACTCTTTTACCATGATGCTTACAGAAACATTTTGATGTCAATAGGCAACAAATAGTGTAAGACTGATGTGGTTTTTTTATGTCCTTTTCTATCCTTCTTGTATATTGGGTTATTAACTAAAAATTCCTCAGGCTTTCCTTCAATCCATTTAATATAACATGAATTCACTTGGAGTAGCATGACCCTACTACAGTGAAAAAATCCTGATGTAACCCAATGGAATGTTCGCAGCACATTTCACATTTCAGGGCATGAAATACTGAAATGTTAAGAGATAATTGTTAGAAGATGATTAATTTTTACAAATGTGAGAAATTCAAACTATCTGGTCACCTCCTAGTACTCAGTGTTCTAAGCAGTGTTGCACTGACTCCACATCATGTTCCCTGTACTTCAGTGCAGTTTGAGGTGATTTCACTCAGGTGACTGAAGTGGCCTCTCTTAGCTCAGCCTTCTGCCTTGCTGTGTCATGAGAAATAGCAGGACACTGAAACCACTCAGCAGACCTCATAAACAAGGGTAGAAAGGTTAAGAAGGAAAAAAATAAAAAATAGAGGAACTCAAATGACATGAAGCCTCTATTTCCCCAGGAGAATCTGAGTGTGTCTCGAGTTACTAGCAGGTCACTATTTTGATCTAACTTGAACAACAGATAGATGTGTGTTAGCACTAATGAAGTGCAAAGTCTGGCTGCATTGCTAGGCCTGATGTGTACCTGCTCAAGGAAGCAGCAGACAACCAAGTCATCTGCTTGTATTTTTAGGTGGACTCTTATGGTCCCAGTTACATGACTGTTGTGCTGACAAAAAAATTAAATCAGTGAGGATTTTAACTGTGCATACCAACTGCAAGAATTAACTCTATTAACTCTACATTAAAATGCAATTATTTAATGTTGCTGTTTTAGTATGTTCTAACACTTTTCAAACTGCCTTCAAAAGAATCACAGTTCTTAGAGATGACTGTACACTGGACATAGAACCAAGACTATTAATGAGAAATTAAGAGGGACAGCTTTAGCTCTTTGATAGACCTCCTGATGTACAAGGACTTCAGTACTGTGAGTAAAAAGCAGTGGAGAAAATGTGAAAAATTCATAGTGAGGCAGAAAATTCAGGCACAGATTGAAAGGAAGGAAAACACTGGTCAGGCAGCTTGTACTAAAGTCTGCCTGGGTGTTTTCTCACACTGTGAGTTGTGAAATGCTTGACTCTTTGTAGCCTAAACTTTCAGTTGCAGTGCTCATGTGATAGTAAATCTGGTCTGTTCTGTGTTGTTGAATAGTGAGTGATTCCTATCTCAAGAACATATTGGGAAATACAGCTTCACTTTTTTATGAGTAGATAACTGAACCTGCTGCTTTTTTTGTGAGATAATGTCACGTTGCTATATTGAATGTCCTATAATAATTAACAGCCAATAGAGGGGTGAAAAAGAGTGGTAGGTAAAGGATGGGGTCAAGTCTAAAGGGTTTCATCTGTTCCTTACTTTTTATTTTAAACAAGATCTTGCTAAAATTTGCTCTAATTTCAGTGAAGGAGTCCTGTTGAAGGAAAACCCTCTGTGCTGTGGACTTCTATTCAGGAGAAAAAGTACTTTTTGGTAAGAAGAAGGGATAACAAATACATATGCAAAATTTAGAGAAATAGTCTTCCATTAGCAGCTAAGGATTTTACTTCCCCATGTTTATTCAGTTTACAAGCTAAATTAATACAAATCAAATATCCTTCACTTCAAAATCCAAAATTATTCAAAATTTCAAAAATTAATGTCTGGTTAGTATTTGTAATTTCTTTGTGAAGATCAGTAATGTAGCTATTTAGCAGCTGTCCAGAACAAGCAATATGAAACCACAATATGCTTTGTAATCAGTAGTTATCTTGATCTTATTAAAAATTGTTGACTTAAAAATTTACAAAGCAAGTGTAAAAAATGTTAGGCACAATTGAAATAAATAAAACTTCAGAAGCAAACATGTGATGCCATGCAATTTTTCACAGTGAGTTTACACACATTCACAAAACTAAAGCCCTTGCAAACACTAATTTTATTGGTTTCCTATGGCAAAGTCCATTACTCTATAAGAGAAGAAAAAATATAATTCTTTTATTTGCAAGTTGAAATTCTTCTGATATGAGACACTTTGTACTACAACCATAATTTTCTTACACATAAAAATAATAGGAAGGATGTCTCCTTCTTCCTCACCTGAGCCTGATCCAATTCTTCCACAATTTAATAGACATCTTGGAAGCTTAACTTCTTTGAATCAAAATTTTTGAGGATACTCAAAGTACATATATTTCATACATCAGATTGCCACTGAAGTTGCAATGTGTTTGCCATCAGATACAGCATGTAGCCTGCAGTGATGTTTGCCATACAACACAGTTCTCATACTCCACGTTTGACTTGTTCAAACCTACTACCCCAAGATAATGCAGTCGATGAACCTGACTGTGTAAACAACCCTTATTACTTTCAAACCTAAATATAGTAATGAATAAAAATTAGCTTTGAATTTTCCATCAACCCATTATGTCATTAGTACACTTTAAAACCATTCTTAGCCTTATAAAGAATTTAATTTCTTAAAACTTTATATAAGGATTTTTGAACATGGAACATTTTTTTTTCTGAAAAAAAAAACTTAATTTCATTGGTTTCAAGCTTTCAAAGTCTCTCTTTTCCACATGCAGTTCTTTTCTGCTTTCTGCATACAGACTTTCTAGAAATCAGAAATAATTTTAATGGAAAGTAACAATGCTGTATTCCTCACAATTTTAGCTTTTAGCTACCTTGCTGAGGTTCTCAGCAACAGCGAAATAGTGCTCATTTCATGATGTGAATATTAACTTATGAACTGAACAAGGTTGTTAATGGAAATTCTTATAAAACACACAAGAAAAAAAAAAATCCAAAAAGCTTTTCTTTCTCTATGTCTTTCCCTGGACTGCTCAGTAAATGAAACTGAGAGAATGAGGAGAAAGGATTACTGAAGGAATGACACAGATTATTCACTGAGTTCCTTGTTAGAGATTTTCTGTGCCTACCAAAGGATCTTCATGTTTGGCTACAACCAGACTTCTTTTCTTGTCTTCCTCTGTTACAGTCTGACTGATCTGTTCAAACAGCTTTGATATCTTGGCAAATCTCAGGTGGTTCTGAAACCTTCGTGCAGCAAAAGCATAAAGCAGAGGATTAATACAGCTACTGATGAATACAAGTGCTCCAGAGATGTACACTCCTTTGTCTACAATTTCTTCCAGTGCCAAAGACATCTCCTCATTAGAGAGTTCTATTTCAATTGAAATGATGTCCAGGATGTTAAAGATGTGGTGAGGGAACCAGCACAGAATGAATGCCACCACGACGCTGGCAATGAGACGCTCCGATCGCCGCTTGGATTGGTAAGTCATTCTGCTTATTCTTCTTACAACACACACATAACAAGTGCAAATAATTAAAAAAGGGATTACAAAACCTGCAAGGGTCTCCAGCAGAAGAAAAGACACTTTCTGTCTATTAGAAGAGTAGTTGCGGCACGTGCACAGAAGTCGACCGTTCATTTCTTCTGTCTCTTGAAATGGAATGACAGAAATGCCAAAGGCAATAGACAGGAACCAAATGAGGAGTACAATCAAATAAACTTTTCCTTTTCTTCTGTATGTTTGAATTGTGAAAGGGTAAAACACAGCCAGTAGCCGCTCCAAGCTGAGTGCTGTAATCAGAAATATACTGGCATACATGCTGCAGTAAATAATGAAAACCAACAATTTGCAGAAGATGACTCCAAAAACCCAGGAGTCAGCAAAAGAGTAAATCCAGATTGGTAAAGTGATCAGTACAAGGATATCAGCAATGGCCAGGTTCAAGATCAGCAGGACTGAAAGAGACACTTGCTTCATTTTGGTACAAACAGTCCAGATGACAATGCAGTTTCCAGGGGTGCCAATTATAAATGACAAGCCCAGTATTATGCAGACTACTGACCTCACAATATTCCATGTTGAGTTGCCACTGCTTTCCTCACCTTGACTCATTCTGGAAATTCTTCTGTTCTTGGCTGCTCTGTGCTCTGCTTTTATTCTGCAGGTGTTGGTGAACTACTTGCAAGTTCTCCTCTAAATGATGTTCTGAAGGCTAATGCAGACTGTGAGCTCACATCCTCATGCTCACTCTTACAGACATCTGACCACATATGGCAGTTCCTGTTGTTTAGGAGGATGGGTATTTTTGCATACAAAGCAAAAGTAAAAATACATTGCAGGACCTGACTTTGCTGTTAATTATACATCCATTATATCAGCAAATTTTACAGCATGTTGGTGGTCTTTCTAAAGTGGGACTATGTAAAGAAATGTGCTACTGTTTTGGTGCTACTGATCTAATCAACAACTGTGAGGAGAAAGAAATCCTTTTTATGCTATTCTATTTTTGTTCATTTGAATAACTTGGCACTTCATTTTATAAAAACAAAAAACAAAGAGGGGTGTCAGGTAAATGACAAATGTGCATTATATGTTTGACATGAATTTTAAAGCAGAAAAAATTGTGCTTACTACCTTAATATCATCTTTTTTAATTCATCAGAAAACAGTCAATCATATTTCAGAAATACCCTGGCATAAAGGAAATAAACTGTTTGAACTGTACTGTACAACAAAGTGGGTAGGAGTTGTATTCTCTGGGAAATTGCAGTTCTTTACCAAACAATAACCATCAGAGTATTCAGTCTGGATGTAGAGTTATAGGAGGAAATGCTCCATGTCAGAGAGAAAAGATGTCATTATGTTACTGTCTTGCTGTGTGCCAGCAATGGGCTATGACTTTTATGAGTTTTCCTAGGAAACTTGGTAGTCAGTGGAGTACTCAAATCCTAAATGAATCATAAGTTCTTCAGAGTCTGGTCAAAGAATATGAAACTATTTTGTTATCCTGATTTCAAAACATCTTTTGAAGTTCATTTCTAAAATGTTAAAGGCGGAACTAGAACAGCAGTGCCAACAGAAATATTCAAGAAGTGGAACTGGAAGGGTATTTACCATTAAAAAAAGTTCACAGAAACAAAGGAGTTATTTATAGATTTCTTCCCTAATTTTACAAACCCAGCAAATGTAGTGCATAGCATTAAGTCAAAAAGTATTTTTCACAGAGGAAAAAGGATTGTAACATCAGCACCCCCAAAGCAGCTTAGCCGGTTTTGCTCCCGTAAGAGTATAATGAGATCAAAAGTAAATCCAGAATAACCCCACTGAAGTTAAGTATTATATCTTCAAAATACTATTTGTGTAATACAGATTTTAATTGGGATTTAATCTGATACATGACTCCAGTTCCTTTCATTTTTAACTACATTTAATGAATATCGGGTAGGGGAAAAATGAAACAAGTTGTTTGTATTCTGAAGGGAATTTCTGAAAACCACATGTGAAAATTAACTAACGGGAGGAAGTGCTGGGCAGTATCTCTTCTTCCAATGAGAAGAAGATTCTTCATAGACTAGTTTATTGAAAGTGGCATATGTAGACTGAAGTAAATTGCAGATTTTTATTGGAAAAAGATAACCAAGGAGAGAGGTCCAGTACCTCTTGTCACCCAGTGCTGCAGGGACTGGCAGGTTCTTTAAGTAAAGTCAATCTAGATTATGATTGTTGTGTCACACACTTATTATCAAGACTTTGACCTGAATTGCAGAGGACTCAGGTGACTAAAAGCCTACACAACCAAAGACTCTAGATAGTAAAGAAAGCTACAATGATTTCTAGAAACTCTGCTTAACTGAAAGCTGGGATAATTGCTAAAAGTCCTGTGTAGCAGTAAGACACACTAACTACTAGAACTTGTAGATAACAATAAGGCATGCTGATAAGTACATTTTTATGTAATAATAAGTGCTCTATGTGTAGCTACAATCTTGTGGCCAGTCATCAATCTACCAAGGATCACTAAAAGGACTTGTATGTTCTGTACCATTGTGTGACACCTCTGTAGGATTCTTTTATAACTTTATTTTTGATGGAAAAGAGCAGTTGTCTGAACAACCATTGGTATAAGTATAGTTCTAATCCAGTAGTGTATGTATGTGGCTAAACTTCTGAAGCATTGGCCTTGCATTTTCAAGAAACACGTTTCTCCACTTGAGTTGAAGTTTGCTTGCCAAATGGCCTCTACATCTGGCTGTGTCTTTCATTTAAGCAAGGAAATAAAGATCTCTCAATTGCAGCTGCAGTCTGGAATTTCTGTTTCAGAAAAATTCCTAAGAAGTGTTGAACTAAGACTCTGAAGCTAGGCTAATAGACTAAGTATCTCAGACATTAGAGTTAACATTAGCTCAGGAGCATGTTTCTGAACAGCTCTATATGACTCCTGGATCACTAAGAAAACTTCAGACTGTCAGCTGATTCTAATATTCTCTAAGACTGTTATTTATGAAATTTAAATTAGTAGTACACAAACATTATGGGCAATTTACCAAATATTTCCATAAACAGGGGGAGCAATATAGTGTAGTCAATAACTGCTAAAAACAACAGTAGCTAAACAATTCAGTATCTTACTCACTCTAGTGGCCACATGTGGGTGGGCTTTAATGTATGAACGCATTTGGACTTTGGATCACAGAAGCTCTGGTCTACTTCATTACAGCAGTGAAATTAGGCTGCATCTGTATGTTTAAAAAACACAGTTTAAGTTTTTTGTGTGCATGCATATTATATGTAGTGCAAAAAGTCAGTCATCAATCCAGGAAACTTTCTGTAAGTCTGTTACTTTTAGATTGGCAAATAATTTCTGAAAACTTTCAAAGTTCAAAAAGTCCATGCTACTGCTATGAAACAATTTGCATAGAATTTGCTTAGCCTTAAATATCAGGTGTGTGTTTCTCTCATCCTTCAAATTATTTATTTTCCTCTGAATGAATGTATGAGCTTCCCTCTGGTGGATGTTGTGTAATTTACACTACCACTGAGCATTTTCAAACAGTTGGGTTTGCATGCCTAAATGTAAATTGTAATTGATTTTTCTACATCTTGCACATTTATTCTGAGAAACAGTGTTTCACTTCAAAATGCTGAGAGTCTTTGGCCTAAGAGCCTCTGCTCAAAGTGTGTCCATCCTTCCATGCTATAAGAGCATCCCTTGTAGGGATTTACAGAATAGCTAATACACGAAAAATGGCAAATCCACAATGGGGAACTTGTATTTAGAACTCTATCAAGAAGACTTTTAAAATCCTCTTTACATTTTGTCATCAGAAGGATCCCCTGGATGTTTGTCTAGTAAGTGATTGTAGATTAATGATTATCAAGTATCACCTATCTTATGAGACGCTGCAAATTGAGGTTATAACCTCATTTATTCTTAATGTGAAAGAGAAAAAGTAATTAGCCTGAACCCCTCAATTTTTCAGCCACTGCATTGAGGTGTATTTGCAGGATTTGTATAAATGTCTTATAACAAACTCAAGTCCATGTGCTACTGAGGACAGTGTGAAAGTGCCACCCTTTGCCTTGATCAGAGAAGTATGGTCTACTTCACAGCTGATCTAATTGCTGCTTTCTTGATTACAGGAGGGGATACTATATAAGAGGGATTTCATGAGGATGTGCAGTAGCTAATAATCTCTCTGCTCTGAAATCACTGCAAAGGGAAGTGCAGTGTAGGAAAAGACACACACCAGACATTTTTACAGTCTTCTTGCAGTGTTTGTGGCAGCAAGTACAAATAAGAACACTCCCATGGCTGCTTTATCAGAGTAAATAACTTAAGGAAGAACTTGAGATCAGCTCCAGAATGTAATAAAAGATGTGTACTTTGCACTATAAAGTTTGGAATATTCTGTTCTGTCTGCATTTTGTTAATCAGTATCCTAACATTATTAAAAATTTGTATGAGAAAAGATTTCCTTCTTGTTATGTTCAGTTTTTTGGCTGGCTAGAGATAGGGCTGACTAGAGAAAATACTTCCTGATTGTTATGTTCAGGGAAAACTGCTTTAGGATTTGTGACAGGGAAATGCTTCCAAGGCACCCGTTGTGAGTGCATCAGACATGCTTACATCCTGGCACCTTTCTTGCCCTAACAGACTGATCACTGACAATCAGAACATGTTTCCAAGGTGAAAACCACAGAGAAATGTTTTCCTTCTACAGACATACCAGGTGCATTAGATTAGAGGTGTTAATGAAGATAGCGGAAAACTGTAGTCATAATTCTGACTACAAGCAGGAATATGAATAACAATTATGCAGAGATTATGGAAAAACTTATAGATGCCTTTTCTTGACATTATGAATGTATAATGTCCTGTTACAGTACAAGCTTTTGAACAGTAAATTTATAGATTTGTTCCAATTTAAGGCAGGACTCCCCATTCTAAATCAGCTACTACTAAGTTGCTACTTGTACACAAACTGCTGCTATCCAAAATCCTTAAGTATATAAGTATATCTGGCACCATGGTTGCTACTGAGTAAATCAAATACACCATTTACATGCTCTTCCTTTTGAGTAATAACTTACAGATGACAAATACTACTTGGATGATTTGCTGCCAAACATTACTTGTTTTTTGAAAACTGTTTAGCCAAACCTACTGGCATTTATATGTTGTTTATGTATTGCATGTAAATATTATTTTGCTATATGATCAATGTCTGTGATTAAAAACCCACGAGCAGGTACCCTGCAGTGCCTGAGCACCAGTTGTTCTGCCCATGGAAGGGGCTGTCCGTGCACTTCTGTGTTTGCAACACAGGGTGGCACTGGGAAACCAGCCCTTGGTTTTTTGGCTGAGCCTGCGGGCCCGGAGGTGTTGCCTTTCTCTGCACGGCGTTCAAGAGCATGGCTTTCCACAGAACTGATTCTTTCACATAAGAAGGTTAGGTGATTGTGAATAAAATTTCAATAAACTTATGGGGGAAAATCACAATGTCTGTTTTTGTCTTGTATATCACTTTATTTTCTAAATATTCATATTTCTAGCTCTCTCAGTTCTGATTTGTGCCCATTTCCAGTGCTACATTCTGTTTTAACTGATCTGGTAAGGATAGGTCCCTCTGTGATAAAAAAATAACATTAATTTTAATAAATAAATTTCATTTTCTATGCCTCTGAAGGAACAAAGTTTGGAAAGTTTGGTAACTACATTAACATTTGGTCCTTCAGTGTAGCTTCCATTTGTGTGTTCTCTTTAAAAAGCAGATCAAATTGTGATCTCTTTGGCTGTGATACAACCCTGTCCAGCAGATTTGAGCACCTTTGAAGACTTATTTAATTCCTTTATTACACATGACTTAACCTTGGTCCCAGTGTGACATGAAGTCTTGATTTTGTGGCCTTGTGTCAGGTTAATTGTGTTGCAGTTAGCAGACTGTACTGATTTTATGGGGAATACAAAGATCTTTCTTCTGCTCTGTAGCAGCCACCACATATGTGTTAGGAATGCCTGTGTGCTCAGTCACTTAGTAATTAGCATACCTGACATTCTGTTCTTCATAGCCAGAGAAACCAGCACCCTGTGCCACGCTGCCCTTCAGAATGGTCTTGCCCGAGCATTCTTAATCTGAAACAAAAAGTAGTCAGGATTCATTCTGAGATGCTACACAGAGCCACACTAACAGCTATTTAGTAAACACACACATAATATACTGAATGGAAAAAGTGTAAGATATGCAAACTTCAGGCACAGGTAATGTTTGATCATTCTTTAATGTGAGCTATTTTTTCTGTAGAATTTCTATATAATATTAGAAATGACTGTGAATAGTGATAATTTCTCCATTAAATGAAGAATTTTCCCTGGCAGAAATTGGTAGCTGAAATAATTACCCCCACAGCCCCCCAGAGTTACTAGACTAGCCCAGATCTGAGAGGGCTTTGGGGGAATATTTCAGGGGCAAGGCAAAAGACTCCAAAAGAGGCTCTAACCCCCAGTGTAGTTCAAGACATTTATTCTCAAAGGTTTCTAGGGGAGAAAGAGAGTGAACAAGGAAGAACAGGGCCTTCATCTAGACTCCTGCTCAGGAAAAGATAATTGGCTCTCAGCCAATTAGGTCAAGAAAGGAAGGGAGGGTTAAATTAACATGGTTACAGCTACAGGGGTCTCTGGGGGGGGGTGGGGTGGGGAACCATTTCCCTGAGGATTACAACAGTAGTACCATTTTGTTGGTTAAAACATATATCTATTTATGGAATTTAATAGAATGTAAAGCTAATAGATTCTAAAATAATCTGATGTCTTACTTTTCCTGTATTTGACTCTTGAGCCTAATAGTATGATCTGGTTTTTGGCAGACTTATTTTTTATGTTCTAGTGTTGAGTCAGATCAAAAAGTACTTTTAGCCCAGTACATTGTCTCTGGTAGCATCCACAAGCAGGTGTTTAGAGAAGAATGTAAGAACAAGCCATGTGTGTCTATACTTGTCCTATACATTATCTGGCATTCAGTCAATCACAGCTGAGGAGTTTCTTGGACCAGGGATGGTTTCTGTGTGTTTAATAAAGCTTTGTGGACATTTATTCAGTAGACTTCCTAAGCCTATCCTTGAACTCCAGTGAACTTCTAGCACTGCAGCTTTGACCCATGCTGTGTGAAGAACCACCTGCTTTTGTTTCTTTGCTGTTTTCCTGTTGGCTCCCCACAGTTCATCTGTTGGAAAAACAGTGAACACCCGTGTTCATCCTTTCCACAGTCTTTCCTTGATTAAAGCCTACATCTGTCAGTCATTGCTTAGCTGCAGACTGAAGAATTCTTACATACATGAATATACCTATACACCTTCTTATACCCAGTAAAGAAATCGTCATCATCCCTTCATTCTTCTCATTGTCTCTTCTTTCAGGTATTTTTTGTTTTGTTCAGACAGAGGAACAGACTAGTTCTGAAATTCAATAGCTCAATTAAACCATAGTGTGATGATGAGGGAAAATGAAAGAAATCAAGACATACAGAGGTCAAAGCTCATCTCTAGTCTGTTTGTCTCACCCCCCTGCAGTGTAACAGGGCTGGCCACACTGCACTCAAACATGTATTTTTTTTTTTTCTAATTGGGGATTATTTTAGTTTACATTCAAAGCACAAAAATAATAATTAGCTTTTGTCTTTCTCAATGCCAGTCTGTGCTCTAAGATTTAGAAGACTTTGGTCCAAAGGTCACTGTGTCATTCTTCTTTCATCTACTCCAGCTGCTTCACAATCATAGAAATCCTCATGGGATGCAATTACCTTGTAATCCTTAAACCATAGATTATCCCCTGACTGGTAGGGCTTTGTATCTCTGCTGTGTGTCCTATTCTGTGCTTAAACTACTAGAAGTCAAGTATAATCTAAAATTGCCATTATTTGGTTCTGCATGAAAGGCAGCTTTAATTGCACCTGTTACTTTTTCCTAGGTAGCTTTATGTCTTGTTATGTCTGGCTGCATGGGAAGCATTTAATCCTCCATTGAATGGTATCTCTTTAACACCTTTTCTCACACAGCAAATATGTGACTCCTCTTTCTCTCATGATTGCTGTTTTCCCCTTCTTTTGAGTTTGTGACTGTTCACCAAGGCCTGTGATATCTGATCATGGTGTCACTGAAGCCCCTGGCTCCCCTCAGGGTTAGCTGCAGGTACCTCACATGGGCCCAGTGGGGTTTGCTACGTGCAATACTCCCTGATACACAGGTTTTTGGCACATTCTGGGATCTCTTAGTGAGTGGAAAACAGACAACTTAGTACAGAAAATATGGCTAAGACTCTTGGTAGACACTGCTGATGGGTATCCATTGATGAAATTACTAGGGATTGCCCTTGGCATGACAAATCACAAATCCAGTCAAAACTTTATCCATGTTCTAGTCCTTTGATTGAGGTTTTGAACGGTGTTAGGTTCAATTTATAATTTATAAATTATAAGAGATTTCCTAGGTTGTTGTCATCATGTAATACTAACTTCTGTAAAAGTTTATACAGATATAAAAAAGACAATTGTAAAGGATATAAAACCAGATTTTATAACCACACATTTATAAAGAATTCATATTTTAAACACTATTAGTCTTCCTGTGTTATCTGAGAACAAGCACCTTGTGTAAACACAACAGAAAAATATCAGTACTGTCTAGCAGATTCCCAAAATGAGTAAATATCCAATAAAACAGAGTAAGAGATCAGCTTTGAGAGAATGCTCTCTGCAGTTAATCAGTGCATCTTTGCAGCACACAAGGAGCAGAATCATTCTCACAAGTTATGTTAGAATGAGGTCCAAGTAGAAGAGTTGAAATTGCCTCATAATGGCATAACCTTTTACAGGAACATTCATGTATTTCTTGCTTTCAGCAGAAAATTTGTTTTCACGTCACACGATAGCAGTACCCATTTTTTACTGCTGCTTTGGCTTGTAATCTGAGCAGCTTCACATCCAGCTGCCAAGCACTGATAACCAAAGTAATTTCCCCATACCATGAAGAAACTCTTATGAGTGTAAGTCTATTGTCAGTGTAGCATGGCAACAATATTTACAACATCTCAAGCTATCTTTAGCATACTAATTAAAAAAAATAATCCAATAAATCCATCTTCTCAAAGTAGAATGCCCAGATAGCCTTTGGCAAGCTTTCCCTTTCTAATATGTCCACAAGTGCCTCTAAAATATCATTATGCAGGTTAAAACATGACAGGTCATTCCACTGCAGCCTGTTTGAATTGTCCTTTATTCATTCTTATTATTAGGAATGTATTAAAAGAAATGGTGGAATTTGATTAGACTTTTCATTTTATATTCACTTATTTGCCCAACAGAACTATCAAAATAATTGTCCTGATCCAAATTTGATCATATTTGAACATGAGGATTAACACAATGGCCTTCAAAAGTCCCTTCCAACCTTAATTTCCCTATAACTGTATTTTTGCACTGACATGTTTGACAGAGCCTCACATGATGCTACTCATGATGCTGCTGATTCAGCCATTTCCCCATGATTAACTGTTCCCAGCTACCTGTGTCACTCAGTCCAGGAGAGAACTCTGTCTTCACAGGAATCATCAAGCAATACTTTTTAACTTAATCTGTCCAAAGGATGGGACAGTAAGTGTCTGTGCACTTGTAGCCTACCTATGCCTTTAGAACATGGTACCAGCCCAACAGCAGATCAGGCATTTCTTTTTGCATTCAGTGGCAGTTGAAACACAGATCTTAACAACTATTTTTGTTAATCTTGTTAATTTTGTTTGGTTTTAATGTTAATCAAGAAACTTTGGCAAAATGTGGGTTTGTTCTATTCAGTTTTTAAGTGTAGTGAGTTTTCCTATTAATATCTATTTTTTAATGTGGTAATCTGGATTTAAAAGACATAAAATAAATGCACTGTCTACGGACATTACATCTTCATATCTAAGATGATATTTGCTTTACAGATGCATCGTTTAGTGGGATTGCATAAGCATTTCAGGGCCAGAGACACAACTGAAGAAAAAAATCTTTACATATCCTTTAAACTCAGGTGAACTCTCATTTTTTTAATGCACCAGCTAAAGAGGAACTCTCAGATTGTTTCTTATAGGCTGAAGGGAAGTCTCTCCCTGATATGTGATCAGGGTCAGATGGTTTTCCATCCCTCAGTGTTGAAAATTTTAGCACTGAAAATAAGTGAGTGAAACCTTACAGAGACTAGACAAAGACCTGCATCCCCTTCGATACATGACTAAATTATTGACAGCAGTTTCAGTTCTTCTGGACACACTTGTGTTTCCAGAGATGGATTTACTTTTGTCACTAATTCATTGGATTCAGTAGCAGCAGTGTTGTGTCTCTTCAGAAGTAGCTCTGAGCTAGCAGATTTCCTAAGGCCTGTATTTCCTTTTGACTTTCCTGACACTGTGTCCAGCTGGGATACCAAACAGGTCTGACACTGGATGAAACACTGAAATTATTATTAAGCAGTGGCCTCTTGCTTTTCCATTACATGTGGACTAACATCCTGAAATGCTGCTGCTTGACTCGTGTCACTGTGCCCTCTCTAACCACACTCAGATTTGTTAAGCCTTACAAAAACAGCATACCAAATTCTGCTTTTTCTCCAAATTACTTCCTCACAGAAAAAAAGTACCTTGTCTGCAGATTAAACGACCTTGTCAGCTTTCTACCTCAAAGGGCCCAAGTTTCTCTGCAGAGCAAAAGGTGTCAGGTTCTACCACTCTCGCAATGTGCTGGGAAGTTGTTGTACTTTGTGGGAACTTGTGCAAGACATAAACTGTGCCTGAGGGTTCAACCTACTCAGTTTTCATCACAACTGGATTATATTTTCAACACTTTTCCTCATATATTCATCCTACACAAAATTGTATCTCCCCATTTCATCTTCCCATGCCACCTCTTATTTTTAAATTATTTTTTAAATTCCATATATTGCCTAGCTCCAATTTCAAAATTTATCAGTGTCCAACCCAGAATACCAACTCTGAGTAAATCTTGAGTAAAAGTCCCATTAGTTAACTTTGTGCATTCTTGCTAAAAATTTCTCACTTGAAGATTCCAACAAAATTTTCTTTGAGCAGGATTTCTGAAATTCCAAGTA